GGAAAACAATTGTTAAATTTGAATAGCCGTTAGCTTTTCATTAGAAATAAATGTTGGAGTAAATATGAACATACGATGACATGTTCGGCACAAAACATTTGAGAGCTTCTAGCGTTTGACAAAACGCTTCGTTTTGAACAAAAAAACATTGTTTGACACTACAAGCTTCTAGCATTTAATTTAAACAAAACACTCCAAATTCAAATGTTACCTCACGTAGCGTTTAACAAAACGCTACCAGCTACCAGCTAGTTTTGCCGAACATGCCCGAAACAATTTAAATTTTCAAAAACCGTCATCAATATGCCACATTGCCACATAAATTGTAAATATGAGTATATGAAACAATCCCACAAAATCAATGACATTTTTAACAAGTTTTGTATAATCAATTTGACTAAACATTGTAGATATTTACCCTCAAATATTACTTTTACTAACAGATACCATGAAACGAGTATCAAGCTTTATATAATACTCTACTTAAATGTCCAATACTAAATAAATTTGTCAATTAACATTTGAAGAATAAAGAATCAAATTTCTAGTAATTTGGTTTTGAAACAACTATAAAACATTAAAAATAATATAAAAACAAGGTATATAATACTAAACTATCCAATATTAACTAAAATTGAAAATTAACAATGCAAGTTTGGAGAGCAATCTTGCATGATTGGTTCCTCACCTTGTGAATGAATATAGTCATTGTTTTTTGGACAATCAAGTTGACATTTCATCATTGTTGGTAGATTTACAACCATCAAACTATCATGGATCTCACAATCAGATGGGGTCGGAAGAGTGTTAACACACACTTCATAGGTCTTTTCGGAAAACATCAACTTGATAATCCTTAATAGCCTTCGTCACATAGTCTTCATGATTTATGGTCATTAACATTTTTATGACATGCCCACAAGGTAAGTCAGATAGTCCACACGTCCTACATGAACAAGTATGTTCATCAAAATCAACGATGCCACCTTTTTTGAAGTCCTAAACCTGAAATATTGTATTTGTAATTGGGTAGATCGTGAAATTACTATTCTTTTCACACCTTATATTGGCTAATGGGTGAGTGTTGTTCTTACTGTCGCTGCAAACATTAACAAATATCACAGTTAGGTTCACCAATAATTTATTTGTAACCATCATCAGTAATGTAATTTATCTGTGCGAAATTACGATGTTGAATACACCACTTATGCATTGTTGCATGGAAGAATTTGATCAACGTCAACACTTGCATCTTTCATGGATATCTAGATAATGCATGCATGGACTCGACACTACTAAATGTCATAAGATTACTAAAAGCCACCAAAATACGTCCTAGCCCATTTTTTAGGATTGGCTCTGAGTAAGTAGTCTCATACCCATTCTCTTACATTATGTATTTTTTTTTCTATTATTTCCTCGAATTAAGCGAGTGTGTAGGATTTTAAGCCTCCCAGAACATAGCTTTAGTCGATACAAAATTGTTTTTACATGACATAATAAAGAAAAGTAATTTGCTATGTTGATTGGTAAAAACTAAATGAGAAATTGAAAAACTAGAACTATGAAAATACATAATGTTATAAAATAATATGTTGCAAAAAAAGAAGGGTAAAATGGTCATTCTTATCATTCAGCCAATGCAGTCAGATGTATAATCAAACAATATGGTTGCAGTCAGAATTCAGACCCAGTCAGAATTCAGACCCAGTCAGAATTCAGACCCAGTCATGACTAAGTCAGGGCTTTGACTCAATCATGACTGAGTCAGCAACTATCAAACAACTCCTAAGTTGTTCCAATTGGCCTAGCAACCATGCAGTTTATGTAGGAACCATGGCCCTAAATCCATACACTCACTCTTGTATATGGATATGAAATTGTTAATATTTGGTTATCGTTTGTCCATAGCAATTGCAAGTAACATGGTACCCTTGAAGTCGCCCTTTAGTTGGACGGCATCTATTTCTAGGGTTAACCTACACCAGTTACTAAATGAACGTAGATACAAAACATGGTAAATATATTTAAAATTATTCATCCATGTGGAAATTATGCTACATCTAGATTTAAGCTATAAAAAGTAAAGCTTACCGGAGCAACCAATTAAAATAAAAAGGAGCTAAAATCGATCATTTACATTTATTTCAAGGGAAAATGACTTAATATGGTAACATAGTTTTTGCTATGTACACGTTTAGTCCTTATTGTTTTTATGTGTGTGTGGCTTTTTTTGTTTGTAAAATAAGTCATTTAACTTGTTGTTTTGTACACATTCAGTCCTTATGTACAGCTACTCCATGTTATGACCGGCTACTCCAAGTTAAGTTCTCTGTTTGTACACATTTAGTTCTTAATGTTTTTTTGTTGCAAAATAAGTCTTTGTTGTTTTTTTACACATTCAGTCCTTATGACCGGTTTCTTTAGGTTTTGCTCATATGACATCCTACATGGGACAATCATTAATAAGGTGTTCTCATACGTAGCTTGTCCCACACTTATATCAGTAACCTAATTCACATATCGGTCAAATAATGTTAGTGCCCTAGTTTTATCCAAGAATAAGATGTCTTCGGCTTCAGTTTCATCTATCTTCGTAACTGACAATGAGATTCTTTATGATTGTTTTCTCCCAACTTGAATTTGTACTGCCAAAACAAAATAACACCATGAAAAGTTTTTTTAGTGTCTTCCCTAATTCGTTGGTATGTCGATTTTAACCATTTTCAGCAAATAGGTTTTTTGTTTATTCCAAATTGAACCTGAATTTTGAAGATGAGCTTGCAAATGTTAAAGAAGAGGTTTCCTGTCTCAACTATGTTGAATCGCAAAATACTAAAATTGTAGAACGATTAGAGTTATGTCGTGAGGATTCCACTTATCATATGAGCCACATATGAGAATGCCTCATTAATGATTGTCCCACATAGGATGTCGTGTGAGGAAAACCTGGAGAAACTTATCATAAGGACTAAATGTATACAAAAAAAATAAGGACTTATTTTGCAAAAAATAACATTATGGAATATATGTGTAGAAATTGAGAACTTAACCTGGAGTAGTCAGTTATAAGGATTGAATATGTACAAAAACAATAAGTTTAAGGGCTTATTTTACACAAAATATATATATATATATATATATATATATATATATATATATATATATATATATATATAAAAACAATAGGACTAAACGTATACATAGCAAAAAGTATGTTACTATATTAAGTAATTTTCCCTTGATTCAATTCATATAATGGTGCCAAGATTATGTTTCTCCAAGTCGTAAATATAAACAAGAGGCTTATAAATGAATTATCTTAGGTAGCCCTTCACAGTTGAAGCCCATGTTGTTTCGCCCGCCATACATGTTTGTAAGTAATATCAATTTTGCACTTTGAATTAATATCCATCATGATTTCACTTCCCTGATATACTTTAGTGGGGTTGCCATCTATAACCTCAAAAATTAAGTTTGTAAGAACCAAAAATTTAGAGAGATTTGACTTTGGATAAATATTTGACCAAAAAGGCAATTTGGTCATTTAGAGGAATTTCATGAATTGAGAAGGTGTAATTTCATGAAATTGCCCAAGATAAGTTTAAGTCGATTTTATAAGACGAGATAAGTGAGTTTAAGAGAAGAAATGCGATAGATGGTGCATTTAGGCCATAAAGGGTAAAATGAGAATTTTATGCTTTATGTGTCAAGTTTGTGACTTAATAGATTAATACATGTATGTTGTATGTTAGAAAGGACTTCATAGAGTTGTAGAACTCATCCCGACCTTCGTGTGGATATAAAGATCATTGAAAACGGGTTTAAAACAAAGAAGATATGAGTGTTAGAAGATTGGAAAAAACTATCCCAAAGTTGGAATGGATTCAGCTAAGGAGCTGCTGATGTGCAGCTATCGCAATGCGGTAAGGGTTTTGTCGCGGTGTGGTTTTTAGAACGGTAAAATGGACGAAAGTTTCATCATAAGTCGAGGACAATGCACTTTGCAATGCGGCGTGGTGGTGAAAGTAGGATGCTATAAGAAGGCATCGCGGCTCGGTCAGAGGGAGACCGCTTCGTAATAGGGAGCACAATGACACGGTAGGGATATTACCGCAACACGGTTTCGCAGTTCAGTAAAGAAAATTTAAATATGTTAAGGGCTCATTCTCGATCCATTCCTTCCCAAATTCGTTAGGGAGTTCAGGAATGACGATTTTGGTGCAAAATTGATGCCAGGATAAGCTAGAGATGGTGGATTGCAAGGGTTAACATCCTCTGCCTCTTAAGGTAATGATTTCTCCTCTTTTATGAATCTTTGAGCTTCAACGGTAAAATTGTTAGATTGATTAGATTCCTTGATTTAATTGGATTATAACTCAATTAGTATGTAATTGAGAGTGTTTAGAAGCTTTGAACAAGCTTTGTATATGATTTCCACCATGAAATCCATATATGGAAAGTTAGGTTTGAAACCCTAACTAGTGAGGATGATGAATTGATGCAATGGAGGTTAGAGTGTAATAAATTAGGTAGTATGAGATGCTTAATTCATTGGGTAAATTAGATTTATAGGTAGAAGATGAGATGTTAGAACTATGATCAATTAAGTAATCATTTTGATATAGAGAGTGATTAAGCTCTTAATATGCTAAGACAAGTTCTAAGGAGCTTGATATGTTGTATGAATAGGCATCGAGCAAAGAAGATGGATAAAGATGCATCAGTTGAAGATTGGAAGCCAAAGGTAGTTAGTCTTCACTAACTAACAAGGTGAAGTATAACTCTCTCTCACTAGATTATGTATGCATGTTTATATGTGTTTATGTTATTATGTATGCATGTTTAAATGCTAGTGGTAATTTGTTAAATACCCATAACTCATTAGATGAAGATAGGTTGGATTAGTGTCTAAGTCCATAACTATATTTGGTATGTTCTTGACCCGGTTGTTGCATGGTCCTTTTGGGTTGCCTTCACCAAAACAACTTGACCGGATGAATAATAGAGAAAGAGGTTATTATGGTTTATTTATATATTATAAGAATAATATATTAAAAGAGAAATCATATTTATTTAATTAACATTGGTCAATAATTAATTAAGAACTAGGTGGAGAGCCCCGCATTACGGGGGTCGAATGCGACAATTTTTTCCGTTGTTTGTTCTTTGTAAATGTTGTTTGATCAACTATTTGTTTGTAGTTTGAGTATTGTTATAGAGCAGTAATATTGTTTCGTCATGGATAATTTTTTTGTTGTCGGATAAGCTATTTATCGAAATATATACTTCATGGGTTTATCCTTTGGTTGATTGGATCGAACCGAAGAGCCGGATTCCACGGATCAAATACTTCATGGTTTTTTCCTCATTAAGTGTTGTCTAAGTATAACATTGGCTAGCTCAAAAAACATTTGATAAAATGACAACACACGTATCTTATAAAAGCAAAGTCACCACAGCAAACAAAAAAAAAAATCAATTTGTTGATTAGTGTGTGTTACAGGATGTTAATAAGTTCAATTGTCGGCTTTCTTAGATTCCATAAGTCCTGAGAAAAGAAAAGAAAAAAAACATATCAAAACTTTGGGATGTTCAATCGTCGGCTTTTTTAGGTAACTTCTAAAATTGAAAATTAATCTAAAGTTCATGCATAACTTAAAAAACAAACAAATAAATAAATAAATAAAAATTATTCGGATGTTCAAGTATGGTTTATTTACCTGATTCTTAGTTGAAGATTAGGCATCGAACAATATCTGTTGTTGCCCATGTGGCGAAATCTGTTGTAATAGCGGAAGGCAACTGCAAACATTATATTCCAATGAATTACCAAACAAAAGAAAAGAAAAAAATATAAAGTTCTACTTAATTAACTATTAAAAAACATATCGATTAGCTGATAATAGTGGTTAAATCTGTAACAAATAGGAATATATTTTTCTTTTTGGTAAAAAAATAAAAACAAATTGCATAAACCAAATAAATGTGTAAATTCAAAGTACATTGCTATTTAGTGTAGCTGTCAATTAAAAATGGAAAATTGACCAAATGGCAATGTATTTTGGTTTTTGGAAAAGGAAATGAAAACAAATCGCAAAAAACAAAAAAAAAAGTTCAAATAGAAAATTTGCTGCTATGTACTGTTGTTGCCACCTAAATTTGAAAAAAAAAAACCTAAATCTAAAAAAGAATTGAAAGTGAGCCACTGTTAGATATGTATGAATTGAAAGTCAACCAAAACTTGTCATACTTTGCCTAAAAGTAACATCTAATATTTTATTAAGGTTATTCTAATGTAATTCTATTAAATTTGTTTAAAATTTTCAAATTCAGGTACTATAGTTAAACTGTATACACGGGAAATTTTCGTTAAAAACTCTTCAAGTCAGTAACTTTTACCAAAGAAGCTGTATGCAATGGCAGTTTGGTCAAAAACTATGAAATCATGAAGTTTTTAACCCAAAAAAGAGTATGCGGTGGTTACCAACTTCCTTTGCCATTTTACATATTTACATAAGAAAAAACATACTGCACACGTGTCATCAATGGAGAAACATCTTTGCAAACAGAAATACCTCTCTCCAAGCATTGTTCAGTAACCTGTCATGAATGTAGAAACAGAATTGAAAAAACTAAAAATAAAGATAAAAATTCTATTAATTCTAATAATCTTCATCAATTTTAATATGAGGTGTACCTCTAGAAGTCGTTTTGTGGCTTCATCAACATTTCTACATAAAAATGTCTTTGAGGTATCAGCATGATAACCCTAATAAAAAGATGGATAAAAAAATATATAATATTTCTATAAAAAAAGAATATGATAATCTTACATCTAAGTAAACGGTGACATCAATATTTATAATATCTCCATCCTGCATAAAAGAGTAACACCGAAATTGGAAGCAGGTGGAGAAAGCGAAGGAAGGCAGACGACAAATGCAGAAGAACAACAGGCAGAATCAGTTAAAACACATAACCAAACCATTATAGCAGAATCGAGCAAAATTAACAATAAACAATTTGTGTTCTTAATATTGAATCTCAAATTACTAATCGAAATCAATAATTTTCTTACTCCAAGATTCAATAGAAAAAATTAGTTAAAGATAATCCTAAATTAATCACTCAAAATTGGAAACAGTAGATGTTTTTTACCTGCTTGTCCTTTTCTATCCCTTGATACTATCGTTGTGTCGAATCAATTGCTGAAAGTCTAGCGATTCGTAGTCCTGGAGTAAAAAAAAAAAAAAACCTTGCCACAACCGTTGTGTTGAATGGAGTAGCCATATTTGTAGGGTGCTTCAAAATACATCTGAAAAATGTTACAGATAAAGCAAAATAATGACATAAAAATAATAGTATGTCACCTCTGGTTTGGAAGTCTAACCTAAAGCTGCAATTTTGGAAGTCGGTGTCGGTGGGATTTACCCGGTCGATTTGGCGGTGTATTTTGGCATATCTGTACAGCAAGAGGGCTATCAATTTTTATAAAATTGCAAGATTAGGGCAGGGAATATGAGAAACAAACAACCAAAAAGATTTAAAAAAAACAAAAACAAAAAACAAAAGAGATAGAAGAGGGAGATGGTGTAGGTTTGGAAAAGTGTCCGATATTAGTAATGCATTTCACAACTTAAGGGATAACTAAAATCTTATTTCTGTTCATGCCTTCAACCTTCTTTGGCTTGGAATGTCTGTTGCTGCTTCTGTTCTGAAAGTTCAAACGAATCATATCTTCGTCCGTTTGGTGACCTTCAAAGAAGGTTAAACAACTGTTTATAGAACTTAGGAGTATAGGAGAAGAAAAATAGATGAATCGGTGCCTCATGAAATTGGGTTCTGTAGCCGATATGGTAACATATCATAAACATTATAATTTTTAGTATGACAACATAGGAGGTGAACTGCAATGCCAAAATTTCAAGCTTATTAAGCGGAAAACGAAGTAGACAATATGTTTCAGCAAATAGAAGTTAATAAAATCTAATTCATATCTTCTTATGAGTCTCACATATCCCATGTACACTTTTCTTATCCCAAATTTAGTCATCACACTCAAGAAATACAACCCGACTACAATGTTTGATATCTGATCATTAAAAATATCACCATTTGTTAGTAAAAATGATCATATTTCTAAAGAATAAAAATGACGCAAACTTACCCAATGCATTTCAGGTGATAAGGCAATTGCTTTTGCTCTAAATCTCGAGGAAAAAATCATTGGAGATAGCAGAGAAGGAAAAGGGCCAGCACCAACTGAAAATGATAGCATATACCTGAAGTATTAATAATAAATATGTTCACCTCAAAAAAAATTGAAGGAAAAAAACATTTCTAACAATTTTATTGTACAATTGTTTTTTTTTTTCACCAAATTATGATGTCGTTTTGCAAAATAATCAAGTCATTTTAAAAAAAGTATTAAATTCTTTAATGAATTATACAGGCTGAAACATTAGCGTTTGAGAGATATGCAGCAACTAAGAAGCAGGCGTGGAAAATTTTATGGGCTTTTAAAAAGGAAAAAATAATAAGATTCGGTTCAGGCATTTTATCGAGCAGGTGGTGTGCATGAATATTAGTTTCAAATTCCTGTGAAAATTAGATACATAGAAGAAAACCCCACTTCAGCTAAAGAAGATTATGGAAGAAAAAAACAAAGAAGATGTGAAAAATACAGTCTAGCATCATCCTCTGATTTTATTTTAATATGTGCACATTCATGATTTCATCAGAATCTATCAACTTAATCACAAAGCTAATAAAATAAGGATCTTAACGGGTAATATAATATGCAAAACGTGAATAAAGTGTTGATGAAAACAATGAATAAATAATTGAATCTACGTATGAGTATGATCTGAATGGATATGTATATAAGCATATACCAACTACATGAAGCATCAAGCTGTTATTTATTTCCACAACCGGGAGGTCTACCCCTTCGTATCTTCCCTGAAGACGGTGTCGAAGATGAGAAGATGGCGGTGATGGAGTCCGAAAATCGACTTTGGGGAGTGGAATAAACCGTCTGTGGCTGTGGCTGATGGCGGTGATGGAGTCCGAAAATCGACTTTGGGGAGTGGAATAAACCGACAGATAGATTCTAAACCGAACCACTACCCCCAATCGTGGAGGGCTGGGGTCAGGAGGTTGAAGAAGACCCACCAGACGAAACCTGATGAAGAAACGTAAGCAACGGTGGTGGTGGCTGAATAGAAAAGACTGAAACAATTAGAAAGCGGTGGAAGCGGCGGCTCACCTTCTCTCGCACCTCCGAAGGAAAAAAATGAACGGAAGGTTTGGATGCTCATCTGAAATTTTGAAGATAAGGACGAAGCGGATAAAACCAAACGATCATCAACACGTGTATAAAAGAATGTGAATATTTCCATCGTGTATAAAAGAATGTGAATATTTCCATAAAATGTCCAGGCACAAAAAAGCAAACGGAAACAACACATTCATGGACTATTCTTGCCAAAAAGCACACAACTTCACTATTCAATGAGTTGGTCATCTTTAATATATATATATATATATATATATATATATATAAGAATTAATTTTGTGGTCAAAAGAGATTAATTGAATTAAAGGGACTGAACTTGTAATTATGTGATAGTTGCAAAGTTGGATAAAGAAACCCTAGAGTATAGGGTGGACGAATTCTAAGGATAAGGCCTTAGGAATTCGTCCAAAGGAGGGGTTATAGAATTATCCTTTGGGCTGCTTGTGTTGGATTAGGTGTCTAAGCCCATAACTGTAATTGGTATGTACTTGAATTGATAGCAGCACAGTCTTTTTGGGTTGCCCTCAACCTAGCAACTGGACAAGGAAATTGTGAAAGGAGAGATATTAATTTATAAGATTAATAAATTAATATAAATGATTTATTAATATGTTAATGGATTAATATATTAATTAGAAATCATTATGTTTAATTAATAGTTAGCCAGAAATTAATCAGAATTAATTTTGGGGTTAAAAGAATTAATTATAAAGTGCAGGGACTAGTTTGCAATTAACTGATAGTTGAATGGAAGGATCCAGAACTCCCTTGGAAGGGGGTGGACGAAAACCCTAGGGGAAACCCTAGAGAATTCGTCCAAGGGGTCCAAGATAAGGCCTTGGGTCTTGCTTAGGCCCTAAGCAAAGGATAACTAGGGTTTTCCCTAAACCCTAGTTCCCTCAACTATTTAAGGAGCCTCCTGGCTCACATTTTGGATACTCATTCTTTGGAATAATACCTTGGCCGAAATTGCATACTCCCTCTCCTCTCTCTTCTTCTACTTTCCTTCTTGCTAGTCATTGGGTGTGATTCCATTAGAGGCATTACACTTGTGGTGCTAAAGCTTCCAAGAAGATCAAGATCAAGATCAAGGGAATATCAATTGTTTGCTATAACAATTGAAAGGTATGTAAACCCTAAACCCTAGTTTGTTAATTTCGAAATTAGCCTCTCTCCTCTAGGGTTCTTGTTTTGCAATTCAAAGTTGTATGTTCAATAGTTAAAACATAGATCCAAAGTAGGTTGCATGTGAACTTAGGAATTGTTTTCTAGTTTATTTGTTTCACCTAAAACCCATCAGTGGTATCAGAGCCATTGTTGTTTTAAATTGAATTGCTACAATTGTTGAATTGCAAATTAGGGTTTATAGTTATTAAACCCTAAAGGCCAAATTTTCGATTTCTAGGGTTTTGGATCAAAGGTTTTTTTTTGAAAACCCTAGCCTCCAAAGAACCCTAATCGAAATTAGGGTTAGGGTTTTGAAACCCTAGCCTCCTCCCTTGTAAATTTCGAAATATGCTAGAGGATAACTAGGGTTTCTTGTTTTGGATAATTGTTACTTAATTAGATTAATTGGATAATTATCCTTACCCTATTTTTCGAAATTTAGAGAGATAAGGATTAGGATTAAATTAATGGATTAATTTAATTAGATAATCCTTACAAGATTTAATAATTTGATTAATAGTTAATTAAAAGATAAATATTAAATCTAGTTAATTGGTTTATTTAAATTTAAATTTAATAGCTTAAATTTCGAAATTTATAAACCCTGAAGTTTTAAAATGTTTTAAAACACACCTTATATATATATTATAATTAAAGTTTAATATTATATATGTATAAGAATATGGTCAGTCAAATCGCTAGTATGCCTCATTCACGAAGCTAATCTATAAGGGGGGTATAAGGAAACTGCCTATAAAATGGTAGTTGAATGGGTGTCCACTCTCACCCACCGCTTCCTTGATTAGTGGAGGGTCGTTAGCAGAACGGATTTGATAAGACAACTACTTCTCATTAAAAGTATAATGATATTAAAGAAAGTACTAGAACATTATTTTCAAAATCCCAACTCTAGTTACTTTAGGAAAAAATGTGAAAAGTATGTTAATCCATGCAATTGCACATTGTGCTTTATTGGTCGTTAGTGGAGCGTGTGTGGTTAACCAGCACACTAAAAGGCACTAATAAAGAGTAGTAATGGGTATCTCATAATTGTCATTTTGATGGAGCGTGTGTGGTTTACCAGCACATCAATAGTTAATGATAAAGACAATGAGGTTACCAAGCACATTTGCATGGTTATTCACATCTTGTTTGTGATCCTCGGCATCCCAGTCACAAATAGAAGAGCATAATCTGAGATCAAAACATGTCATTGAATAGTTTCAATGTATCTCAAAAGAATTAGGAATTTCACTTCGTTTGTTTCGTCTAATGGTGGAATTGGTGAATCGTCATTCACCTACCTTTATGAAATTTGCACTTGGATCTCGGCATCCCATTTCTAAGTTGTGAATCTTCATAGTTGGATCCTAACCTTGATATTATATCTTTGGGTTATTCTATTAAGGTATCTTGAAATCTAACTAAAACTTTCTTTCTTTTCAGATGTCTACTCCTGGAAACACTTCTGCTTCGTCCTCCTCCAACCAAAACTTCTCCCTGCTCAATATATGCTCCAAAGTCGTTATGGATGGCTCAAACTATAACGATTGGATGCGCAACATCAAAATGGCTCTTCGTTTCGAGAACAAAGAATATGTTCTTGAAAAGGAGCTCAAAGAGCTTGATGAGAATGAAGCTACTCTTGAAGATCTTGCTGCCTACAAGAAACATTACGATGATGCTACCAAAATGGCATGCATCATGGTGGCAACTATGTCCCCAGAACTGCAGAGGTACTATGAGGACTACTGGCCTTTCGAGATGAACAAGGACCTTATGGAAAAGTACCATAAGCGAGCTCGTCAAGAAAAGTTCGAAGTAGTCAAGTCACTCATGGCTTGCAAGATGAAAGATGGGGAGTCAGTTGTGTCACATGTGCAAAGAATGCAACGCTACATAGAGCGTTTGGTCAAGCTCAATATTCACTTTGATGAGGAATTGGCCATTGACATGGTCTTGAACTCACTTCCTGAATGTTATGGTCAGTTTATTCTAACTTACCATTTGAACAATACTGAGCAGACCTTGGCCCAATTGCACAACTTGTTGCAGACAACTGAGGCAGGGATGAAAGGTAAAAGTATACCCTCCACACCTGCTAGTGCCCCTGTTTTGGCTATTGGACAGGGAAAGGGGAAAAAGAGGAAAGGTCCTCCCAAGCAAAACTGGAAGAGCAAGGCTCAAGCTGGGTCATCTAGTAATGGCCCAAAGGCTAAGCCCAATGGTTCCACTCCCCATGTTTCTGATCCAAAAGAGGCAGTTTGCTTTTACTGCAACCAAAAGGGGCATTGGAAGAGATCTTGCCCACAGTATCTGCAAGATATCAAGGATGGCAAGTGAAGCCATCTTCGGCAGGTATTTACACTATTTATGCTAATAACTCATTATCTTCTCGTTCATGGGTCCTTGATACAGGATGTGGTTTTCATATCTGTTCTGATTTGCAGGGTCTAAAGGAAAGTGAGGAGATAGAGCGAGGAAGGATAAACCTGATCATGGGAAACAGAAAGTCTTCACCAGTAACCAAGATCGGAGTTTATCAGCTTCTGCTTAGTAATGATGTTAGATTAGATTTAATAAATTGTTGCTATTCGTCTGAGATGACGAGAAACATTATTTCATTTCATGCATTGTTCAGACAAGGTTTTACATATTCTTTTAATGATTTGAATGGTTCAATTTCTGTTTATAAGAATGGTGTTTTATGTTTGAAGCTTTGCTTGTAATGTGTGTATGAAACAGTGACTTGTGTTGATAGCCTAGGAAATAGTGTACTTAATATTGACTTGTCTAATAGTGTAGACAAGGCATGCTTGTGGCATTGTCGTCTTGGACACATTAACAAGAAACGCATAGCCCAACTCCAAAAGGATGGAGTGTTGGAATCATTTGACCTAAAGTCAGATGATATGTGTGAGTCTTGTCTTTTGGGAAAGATGACAAAATCACCATTCACAGGGTCTTGTGAAAGAGGTGAAGGTCTGTTGGATCTCATACACACGGATGTGTGTGGACCCTTCAGATCAACTACAAGAGATGCTAATCGATTCTATGTGACCTTCACTGACGATTATAGCATATATGGATATATCTACTTGATCAAGCATAAGTCAGAAACTTTGAAAAGTTCAAAGAGTTTAAGCATGAAGTCGAAAATCATTGGGCAGAAAGATAAAGATACTTAGATCCGATAGAGGCGGGGAGTATCTTAGTATCGAGTTTAACGACTATCTGAAAGAATGTGGGATAGTCTCACAGTTGACTCCTCCTAGGACACCACAGTTAAATGGTGTAGCTGAGAGGCGCAATCGAACCTTGTTAGACATGGTTCGTTCTATGATGAGTCGGGCTTCGCTTCCTATTCACTCTGGGGGTATGCCTTAGAGACAGCCGCCCACATCCTCAATCTTGTTCCCTACAAAGAAGGTGCCAAACACCTCACGAAATTGGACAGGGAAAGTTCCCTCGTTAGCACATATTAAAGTCTGGGGTTGTGAAGCTTTCGTAAGACGAGAGACTCACGACACTAGCAGCTAGAAGTGAGAAATGTGTTTTCATTGGTTACCCAAAGCAGTCTTTTGGATATTTGTTCTACAGGCCTAGTGAGAACGTGGTCTTTGTAGTACGAAGAGGAGTCTTTCTTGAAAGAGAGCTCATATTCAAAGAGGACAGTGGGAGCACTATTGACCTTGAAGAAATTCAAGAGTCAGCCAATGAAGGAACCTTAGATGACACTAGCACTCAACCAGAGGAAACAGCTCCTGTTGAACCAATTGATAACTCATTACCTCTTAGAAGATCCACTAGGGTGAGTGTGCCACCTGAGTTGTATGGTTTTCATATTACTTCAGATGTGACACATTCATAAGTGACAGAACACTGGTAAACTTAGATGAACCAGTCACTTATAAGGAAGCAATGGCAGGCCCAGAGGCTTCCAAGTGGAAAGAGGCAATGGACAGCGAGATTAAGTCCATGTATGACAACCAAGTTTGGAATTTGGTTGATAGTGCACCAGGTCGCAAGACAGTTGGTGCAAATGGATCTTCAAGAAGAAGACAGACATGGATGGGAATGTGCACACACATTCAAAGCTCGACTGGTTGCAAAAGGTTTCACTCAAACCCCAGGGGTTGACTATGATGAGACCTTCTCACCAGTAGCTAAGATTAAATCTATTAGGATATGCTCGCCATAGCTGCCTTTCATGATTATGAAATCTGGCAGATGGATGTCAAACTGCTTTCCTTAATGGGAAGTTGGCTGAAGATGTTTACATGAGTCAGCCAGAGGGTTTTGTTGATGCAAAGTTCCCCAATAGAGTGTGCAAGCTTGAGAAATCCATTTATGGATTGAAAACAAGCATCTCACAGTTGGAATCTTGCTTCCATGAGAAAGTCAAAGAGTTTGGTTTCTCTAGAAGTGAAGATGAGTTTTGTGTGTATATCAAGGCTAGTGGAGTATAGTAACTTTTCTGGTGTTATATGTCGATGACATATTACTCATTGGTAACGACGTTCCAACCTTGAAAGAAGTTAAGTCTTGGCTTGGAAAGTTTTTTGCCATGAAAGACCTTGGAGAAGCTGCCTATATTCTTGGGATTAGGAATATTGAGAGATAGAAAGAAGAAGAGACTAATTGGACTTAGTCAGAGCACATACTTGGATAAGGTACTAAAGAGGTTTAGTATGGAAAATTCAAGAAGGGAGAGCTACCTATCCAGAGCAATACCAAATGCGTAAGACTCAATGCCCGAGTACAGATGTTGAAATA